CCTTTGTTTCACACCACTGTGTATAATTATAGTACATAAGACCTCCAGATCTTCCTGCTATTAGGCATTTAAAAATATCCATTCCAGATTTTCAAAACAAGTTTTACATATACAGTAATTATATCACACGCATGTGCAATGCTTAGATTATATTTATCATACCACCTTAAATTTAGACCATCTCTATTAGGGTTGACTTAATCATTTTCATAATGATGCCCTGGGCCATTTCCTAATAGGGCAGGAAGTAATCCTATTTGATGGGAGTTCATAGGCGCTAGACAGACACTTGACTTTGCAACATGTTCTAAAAGAGAAATAAGAAAAATAGTTTCAGAACTATTGGACAACTGTCCTGCACACATACCTTTGTTACCTTTTGTTATGGTAACACATCTTTAGGTTCTGCAGAGCGCAGCTGGATGCTGCCAGTGTTGGCAAATCACACGACACGGTGGAACCAACCACAGATTGAGATTCAGAAGACCTCGGTTTCAGTGCAGTTGAGCTCTCTGGTCTCTGACAAGGAGATAATCCTATCCATGTAATTAACTGTGGTGAAAAACTCATAAGAATAATTGTGAAAGTGACTTCCAAGTCATAAAGTTGAGGCACCATAATGGGACATTTTTAATTAGGGGTGCACATCAGAATAACCTGCATGCCTTCCAAAATACAGGTGGGCCCCACTCCAAGGCCAACTGGGTCAGAATCTCCTGGGATAGGGATCAGAAATATACTTATTTTTTTAAAGGCCCACAGATATTTCTGATTTACTTGCCTTTTTATAAACTATTGGGCCAGTACAAGATCATTAGTTTTCTAGAATGATGGACCTGAAATCAAATCCCTTCCAAATCTCTTAATAATGTTGTGACTTTGAAATATACATGAATATGTTGAGCCTCAGTTTCTCTAGTTTGAAAACTGGAGATATAAACACTTCTTTGTGTAGAGATGTAGGTAAAACATCTAGGTCAGATGTCTGATAAGTAACCTAAATACCTGAAGATCATAAGACAAAAGGGAGTGTTGGTGACTGTGGCTAATTGGAGAATGCAAGCCTTAATTAAACATATTTTAAAAAATTACTGTAAAGCCTGACCTGGTCACACAAAATGTATCTGCAGGCATGACATTTGGTTTTTACCCCTAACATATGGGCCAGTAAATAACCAATTCTCAAGTACTATATAAAATATAAAATCCTGAACTGTCTGAAAGTATGTTTCTATATGTATGTGTAAGATACTGCTAAATACAGGATTATATATTGATTCAGCAAATATTCAGTGCCCATTATATACTTGTAAGTCCAGATAGAGATACTAAAAGAACTAATTCAAAGAGTTTACAGCCGAGAGAGAGAGAGACAGAGAGACAGAGAGAGGCAGAAGATAAATTAAAACATGTCCATTACTAACAATGCTGATTCTACCAAAACTACATTTCCACGTCTTATTTTTTATTAACATTCTACCCAGGTATTTGTGACTGTCTGAATTCTTATACACAGTTTTTAAACATCACTAATGACTAGAAATATTTGGAATTTTAAGTAATTTTTTTTAGAAACAGTATATTTTAACTAGATTGACATGGTAGTTTGCTGTGAAATAAGAAGGCTAATTAATGCTAAGGCTCCTTCCAGGTTTAAGATTCTATAATTAGGAAGCAATAAATCGTGGAAACATCACGTAAGAGGAACCACTGACCAAATGACTCAGAGTCATTCTTAGAGCTGGAGCGTCTCTTCACATATTTGGGGAAAATTTTCATCATGTGAGATCGTCTTGCAACCTAAAAAGTACAAAGCCTGGCAGCTTTCTCATTCAGTTAAAATTGGACTGTCCCCTGTCATCATCACAGGTCAGATTTTCCGAACTCATCTAAAATCTGAGCAAAATAATTTTACAAAGCCTACTGCTAATTATTTCAAATCATGACTCCTCCACTTTTTAGATCTGTGACTTAGGCAAGTTATTGCACTTAAGTTTTCGTTTCCTCATCCTTAAAATGGTGATGATCAGAACTGAATAAGACTTGTCATGAGGGTTAAATGAGACAATGTTTGTAAAGCACTTAGCAGAGCCTTGGCATATAGAAATAGTTCATAAATGGTGTCTAGCATTTGGATTATCATTTTTACTGTTACACAACTATGGCCATGTTGTCTTAAAGCTCAGGAATCTTTAATGTCTTCATAATTACCCATGCCAGACATTTTTGCAGGAGGCTTCCCTGCTTACAAATCCTCTCTCACAGGCGGCCATTCAAGATTAGATATAGGGCTTCCCTGGTGGCGCAGTGGTTGAGAGTCCGCCTGCCGATGCAGGGGACACGGGTTTGTGCCCCGGTTTGGGAAGATCCCATGTGCCGCGGAGAGGCTGGGCCCGTGAGCCATGGCCGCTGAGCCTGCGCGTGCTCTGCAACGGGAGAGGCCACGGCAGTGAGAGGCCCGCGAAAAAAAAAAAAAAAAAAGATTAGATATAAACTCGGATCTGACTCAGTCCAAAGCTCAAGCGCATTCTACTTCACCCCAACTGTTATGGAGAGGAATAAATCTTGGGAACAAACCTGGCCTTTTCTTTTGTCTCTCCTACATTTGGGGTTTCTGCTAAAGATTTTATTTTTAAGGAAAGGCCTTGCAGATACCAACAACACACACATACATGAAAAATACTCTGATGTTATAAAGGCCAGCTTCATTAGCCTGGCCACTGAAGACTCCATTATCTGGTTGGAATTTACTTCTCTAGCCTCCCTTCCCCATTTCTCTCCTTCCCTTTTTGCACAGCCTACTCCAGCCCAAACTGACCAGTTATTCCTCATGCAGGCAGAATCCTTCCCTCTTCATGCGTCAACCCCAGATGTTCAGCCTTCTCCCGAATCTCCAAATTCTACTCCATTTCCAGGCCTGGCAACAATGTCGGCCCTTCCAGAATTCTCAAAAAAAGTACTTGGGCTTTAGACTGAGTCAGACCCAAGTTCATATCTAATCTTCATCCCTGACTAGTTGTATATTGGTGGAGTCTTTAAAAATGTCAGCATCTGTGTCTTGCCTATAAATAAAATTCTATACTACAGTGCTGATAGGAGGATTGACTGCACAAACAAGGAACACAGGCACTAACAACATGTCTCAGGGACATCAGTGGTTACTTCCTGCCTGGAATTATGATCATTTCTTCTACTTGCTTATTTACGGAAATGGTACAGAACAACTGGATCACTATGTGGGAAGAACAATTTCAGCTGGATCTCTAGTCTCATTCCTTACACCAAAATAAATTTTAGATGAATCAAAGTTTTAAACGTAAAAAATGAAACATCAACAACAACAGCAAAAAAATGGAAGAAAAGACAGGTGAGTTTATTGATGAGTTGGAGTGGAGAAGGCCTTTCTAAGCAGGACACAATAATCAAAAGATTGTACAATGAAAAGACTGCCGGTTATAGCTAATTAAAAAATTTCAATGTTCCTACAGCAAACAAACAATATAAAAATAAAAATAAAATTATATTATATCAAACTGAGAAAATAAATTTTCAACACATATGATGAAAGGTTAGCTTTCTTAACTTAAAAAGAGCTTTTATATATAAACAAAAAATGCTGAATAACCCAATAAAAAAAATAGACAAAGTATTTGGTCAGGTAGCAAATAAAAGTATTTGATCGGGTAGCAAATACACATGACTAGTTAAGTGTGAAAAGATGTTCCCTTTTGCTAATAAAAAAATATAAATTAAAGCAGAGATACGGTTTTTAACCTATTGGAAGGGCAAAACTTAAGAAGGTAGTATGTGATGTTGGTAATGGTTAAGGCTGCAGACCCTCTCATGCGCTGTTGGGATGGTTCAACTTAGCAAATTTTTTAAAGATAAAAACGGGGCATTCCTTTGATCCACTACTCACACTGCTAGAAATTTAGCTTAGAAATAAATTCAAGACCTACAAGTAATAAGCTAGCTGCAAAACATTTTGTAATTAAAAAAAAGTTAGTTAGTTGTTAATAGATGCCTGATAAATGGAGTCATGATATGTACCAAACACGGACTTCTATGCAGTTATTTAAAAAAGTATGACATTGATGAGGATATTTCTAACAAATATTAAGTGGGAAAAAACTGATTCCGTTTGTATAAATTGAAAATGTGGGGGTAGGGTGGGTTGAGTGTGCATTAATATATATACACAATGTACCTTTTTTTTTAGAAAAATAATAAGAAACTGAGAAATACCTACTTTTAGGGAACGGAACTGAGTGGGGAAGGAGGGGACATGTGGAATGAAGGGATATTTTTTATTTTATTCCTTTCTCAACCAGTCGAGGCCCTGGATCTAGTAATCATAACTTTGTATATTACATCTAAATTGTATATACATGATAAACAGCTCATCTATTGCGGGCGTTTGTTCCCAGTTTGTCAGCTAAGACAACTAGAGAGGCCCAAAGTTTTGAGCGCTGGATATAATCTATTAACTGGATTAAGAAATACAATTTGCTATTGTGTAGAAATTCAAACATTTTTTAAAAAGAAGGGCCTTCACACTGAAAGATTGGAACCACTGGTGATGGAGAGGGATTAAAAATAAAACACATATAACTGTGATGGGAACTCCTTATGCTGTTGAAGAGGAATCAGGAAAGGGTAGGTGTGACTTTAAGAACGATTTGTGATATTTCAACCCCACCCTGACAAGCGATCTGAAATATCTACCTTCACGCATCAGCAGAATGAAAACTGAAACACTGCTTTACATGGAGGCCATAGCCACCTATCTAATCATGTTTATGAATAAATGAAATCTATATTCTAACAGTGAAAATGCAGCTCTGTGAGCTTATCAGTTGCTCAGATTTGAATGTATTCAAACTTTCAAACAGTAGAAGAGGTCTTAAGCCTCATGTCCGCCTAACACCCCACCTGTTAACTGTTCGGGGTTGTTTGCACAATCACACTGGGGAGGAGTAGGGCCTCCTGCTATCACTTACGTCATATATGTGAAAAAGGTGCTCAGGGGCTCCAGGGAATGATTCCGGAAATACTCAAATTCTCTGCATAGCGTTTTTCTCATCTCCGTGTCAATAATGGAAACAGTAAGAGGATTTGTTTGGTTAGCCAAGAAGTTGCCATAATCAGTGGTCTGGAGATGAATTTTCAGATCTGAAATTAAATGAAACCCCAAATCAGGTTAAATTTTGAACATGCATGAATAACCTTTACAACATTAATTGAAAGTACGGTAACTTTATAACAAATGCATATTTAATTATTATCTTATTAGACCTTAACATAAGGTCTACATATGATTTAGATTTGAGCATCAATCTCTAAAGCAATAAAAAATTCATGTTAACACAGTCTAGTACGCTATAACAATTTTTAATTACCTGAAAAAATCTAGAATTATTGAGCGCAGCTCAAAAGAACATAAAAAACCACCTAGTCCAGAGATTGCAAATTAGTTTTACCTGAGCCAACTTAGTCATTTGGAAACAGTGCTAGGAAAACTGTTTGAGGATACTAAGCCTCCATCTCAGCTTGATGGAAAAGAAAAGTATATTACTAATATTTACCATGGGTATGGGAGGGCAGCCACCAATATCCTTTGACTACAGATGAAGGAGTTGAGTTTCAGCAGGTCTAAATGGGAGTTATATAGTAGTGGAGCTTAAACTAGGAGATGGGTCTCCTTACTCTTGAATTCCAACATCATTTCCATGGGACCATGCTAGATGTCCTTTAAATGGCAATGTTTTTGGTTGCCAGATAATTTAATTGATTTCCAACTTCATTTATTGTCACTTCATCCTGAACAAACCATTTGTTTTCCATTCCTACACTTCTGTTAATACTGATCCCATCGAACTCTATAGAATTGGCCCCCTCCCCTTTTCAGATTGCTCATTATAATGTATCCTTCAGAATTAAAATAATAGCTACCAGTGATTGAGTGCTTATTGCGTATCAGGCATTGTATCAATTGTGTATTATCTCATTTACTACTCATGGCAACCCTATGAGTTAGGAACGATTTTTAGCCCCCTTTACAGATAAGAACACTGAAGCTCAGAGAGCTTAATAGCCTGCTCAAAATCATGTTGATAAATTGACTCAAAGCCAGCTTCATATCTTAAAAATCTGTAATTTATTGCCAATCAGTTAAATAAGATTATCAGTTGTTCTGTAAAGCCTTAATTCTGTCCGGCAGAATTATTCAATCTCACGCTGAATTTCAAAGTACTTGGATAATATTTCTAGCACAGCTCCTGTCCCAGGATATTATAAAGTCTTAATATGTTAACTCCAAAAATGCAGTTCTGCTTTCTTAGTTATATCTTTTAGTTATACCTTTTATCTTTTGGTTCCTTGTGCAGTACCCAACGTATAAGTGTTCTTAAATATCTGAATATCAAAAATGTCTTTGGGGGCTTCCCTGGTGGCACAGTGGTTGAGAGTCCGCCTGCCGATGCAGGGGACACGGGTTCGTGCCCCGGTTTGGGAAGATCCCACATGCCGCGGAGCGGCTGGGCCCGTGAGCCATGGCCGCTGAGACTGCACATCTGGAGCCTGTGCTCCGCAACGGGAGAGGCCACAACAGTGAGAAGCCAGTGTATCGCAAAAAAAAGAAAAATGTCTTTGGCACCATCTAGCACACAACTGGAGACAATATAGCATCCTGGATCTTACTGTATTTTTCATTCAAACATTTATTAAGCATCTGTTATGTGCTGTTACCACAGGAGGCCCCAAATGGACAAGACATATTCCTCATCTTCAAGGAAACTCACCATCTGGTGGAGGTAGAGGCAGGACAATCAGATGATGCAAACAACTAAATTCAGTGATAAAGATAAGAACCTTGATATATGGGAACACAGAAAATAAGAGCAAAATGCATAGGGATGAGAGGAAAAAAACCTAGGAGAGTTTCCAGAAGAAGGTTAAGCCAGAGGTGAGCCTTAAGGTGCTATGTAAGAGCGCAAGGAAGGCATTCCATGAATTAGTATGGGTATGGTGGGTGCAAGAAACTCAAAACAGTTCAGTGTGGTTTGAAGCACTTAGTGGGAGAGAAGGAGGAGTAAGAAGTGAAGACAGAGAAATAAGCAGGGGCTGTCCCCAGGAAGGCTTGGTGTGACTTCCTTGATCCTGAGGGTAACAGGGAGCCCCTGTGGGCTATGAACTAATTGCTCTGTAAGCTGATGGGGAGGGTGGATTTGCAGTTAGGCACTCAAGTGGTTCTTGAGTCTCTGAGATTCAGCAGACAGGCATTCTTCCTCAGTGTCTGGAGTAGGTCATGCAACAGAAATGCTCTTCATCTGATTGACTGCAGAATTTAATTGCTCAATCACCTATTTAATTAACTTAATTAAAAAAAATCATACTCTTTTGCTATGTCTTCTTTGGCTTTTATTTTGACAGTCAGACTTTTATACAGTTTGACAGTTTGCCTTCTCAGAACTGAGGAATATTTGCCAACAGAAGTGACACAAATGGTATTTCTTCCAAAACCATGGTATATTGCTCATGTGACATATGGTTCTTTTAAGCAAAATAACTTCCAAACCTTTCAGCTGCCAGTTAGATTCTGAAATTAAATGCCTCAAGTGTTTCAGGGCTTCCCTGGTGGCGCAGTGGTTAAGAATCCACCTGCCAATGCACGGGACATGGGTTCAGTCCCTCGTCCAGGAAGATCCCACGTGAGGCAGAGCAACTAAGCCCGTGTGCCACGACTACTGAGCCTGTGCTCTAGAGCCCGAGAGCCACAACTACTAAGCCCGCGTGCCACAACTACTGAAGCCCGCGTGCCTAGAGCCCGTGTTCCACAACAGAGTAGCCCCCACTCCCAGCAACTAGAGAAAGCCCGAGTGCAGCAATGAAGACCCAATGCAGCCAAAAATAAATAAGTAAAATAAATAAATTTATTTTAAAAAGTCTCAAGTGTTTCAGACCCTGTAAGCAACCTTGTAATACTGTGCTTGGTGGAGAGACAGTTGAGATAGAAGGAGCCCTGTCTCACCAGCCCCAAAATGATCCAAGGGACACTTGCAATCAGATCTTAAGAAAAGCTTAAGACCTGAAATATTTGCTGAGACAATATCATTATCTGTCAGTAATGACAATAATGCTTACAGTTTTATTGTTTTTAAAATAGGTTCACATATTTTTCCTCACATTTCCCTAAATGCTTATCTAAATAGGTATGTGATGAATAGAGCTTTGTGGTCACATTTGGAATAAAAAGGCTTCTTAACTGCAGGAACTGAAAGCCTTTAATACATTAGTCTGAATGATTTCTTTGAAAAGAGTATGGTACAGAAAGTCCCAAGCCACCAGAAATCAATGGAGACACCCACAGAGCACACTTTGGAAAATTACACTCTTTGCTTATCCTGAGTAGTGTGTCAAGTGGCATTTTTTATTCAAATGAAGAACTGTGAGATCACTACCAACTAAATCAATTTTATATGTCCCAGATGTAATAACATAAAGAGAACAGATTGAGCTATTATAACAAATATCTGAGTATATCACCCAAAGTAGTGTATATGCAATGTGCCCGCATGTGTGTACACAGGGTCATAAAGTAAGAATGCATCTTCTGTGGGTTGCAGTCCACTGGGTTCAGGGAATTATCTGAGATCTCTTGGCCAGTGAGGCAGGACAACTATCTGGTTGTTACCTCTTCTTTATTAATTTGTTGGATAGGTCTTTTTTTTTTTTTTTTCTGTGCAGCTTCCTGTTGATACTCTATAAAAATGAATGTCCAGACCTTTCACACTCCAGGTAGGTTATGCCAAGGAAGCACCTTCAGAGGTACCTGTGAAGGGTGCTATCTTTGAGCAGCCCCCTGCCTCTTCACCACACTCTGGCACTGAACTTATGAAAGTTACTTGACCTTTCTGAACTCAGTTTCCTCATCTACAAAATAGGTATAGAAACTATGTTTTGGGGTTGTTGTGGGGATTTAAAAAGATGATGTAGGTGAAGGGTCTTTTTTTTCCTCACTTGTACCCATCTACTTCCAAAGTAATTCGATTCAGTTGGCTAAGACTTTGATTTTTATTCTCTAAACCAGAATTATCTTAAATAATATATTGGAATCTACCATCATATAATTACTCAGATTTTAATAAATATATCAGGATCTATAAAACCAGACGCTTCTTCCTCCATTTTTGCTAATGTACTGCCATTCTCACGGTGATAAAACTTCAAGTCCTCTTTGATGCTTTATTAACTCCAAATCCCCTGCATTGCTCCTTAATATCTTCCTGGATTTCCTCTCCTTATATCCCCCATTTAGAATGACCATATCATAAACCTAGCTCACCGTGGCAATCTCTTAATAGATTCTCCCAGACTTGTTTCTCTTCATGTATTCCATGCCTCAAAGAATATTTCCTAAGAAATATTTTGATCTTATAATGATCCTATAAGTAGCTTGGAACTACTGAGTTTTAGGCAGATTAAAAGCAACTTGCATAATATTTGCAGAGTATTTTACCACTGACAATGATTTTAATATACATTATCTCTCAACCCTAACAATAATTCTCATCTCATAGATGAAGAAACCGGGCTTCCCTGACGGTGCAGTGGTTGAGAGTCTGCCTGCCGATACAAGGGACAAGGGTTCGTGCCCCGGTCCGGGAGGATCCCACATGCCGCGGAGCGGCTGGGCTCGTGAGCCATGGCCGCTGAGCCTGCGCGTCCGGAGCCTGTGCTCCGCAACGGGAGAGGCCACAGCAGTGAGAGGCCCACGTACCGCGAAAAAATACAAAACAAAACAAAACAAAAACATAGATGAAGAAACCGATGCTCAGAGAAATAACTTGTTCATGTTTTCTATGCTTACAAGTATTTGACTGAAGATTCAAATGCACCTCCTCATCTAATATTTTAAAAGAAGCTCCATAATTAGACTTTCAAGGGCCTTCAAAAAATTTCCCAACCTAAATTCTTGCCTTATTCTCCAAGTATGCTAGTATTGCAGCCAAACTGCTTTACTCCTCATCCATATGCTTTTATCGTTTTCTATCTATAGTTCATTAATTCTCCCCAAGAACCTAGAATGTCTTGCCATATTAACTCCCCTCCACCCACCTCCTATGCCTTATCTCACTGGCATTTTCCCAACCTACTGTCTTTCAAGATTTGGT